ACATATCCAAACTTTTTCCTAATGGCTCTCTTGAATTTCAATGCGGAATTGTTCACTGTTGATTGAATATTAGATACCATTAACTCTTGGAGGAGTGTCAATATGATCTTGATATTTAAAGCATAAACATTGTAGGTTAACATAGAAAATCTAAAGGTTAAACTTACAGATGGACAAACAGTTGTCTTTTAATGCTATGATCTGCTTGATTTAGTGCTAGGAAAATAATTTGTTTGAGAATATTGTCATTACTGTATATTGAATCTATTGGTTTCAGAATGAGAAAGATGAATTTGAAAGTACTGAAGGATTGTCTAGAGAAGAGCTTGGTCGTCTTGTTGCATCACGCTGGACAGGGAAAAAGACTGGGGACCAAGTTGAGGAGATTGATACAGCTAAAAGGGACTATGTGGGCAACAGGGAGAAAGAAGAGATTGCACATGATGAACATTCTATTAATAATGCTTTACAATTCAATGAAAAGACTCAAAAGCATCATGAGAAAGGCAGAAATGATGCTGGAGATGAAGAGTCTGTAGCAGATGATGCTGGTAGTTCTAGCATCTGCTACAACATTGGCTCAGAAGATCTTGAGAACTCATCAGGTTTTAGCTCTTCTGAAGCAGTTAGGCAAACTATCACTTGCATGGTTATATCTAGTAAACTTTTTCATTTTTGGTTTCTTGATTCTTCAGATATAGCAACTCCAAGCCATCAATCTTGGTTGGTTAAGATCCAAGAAACTGCTCAGAATATACTACAGTCAGTTAACTTTTATCCAACCCCTGTCACTAATTAGGTAAATGAATTTACGGTTGCCTATATTCAATGTTCTATAAAAACTAATAAACACATAATATGCATAATATCTTGCATTTTGGTTTTTCTAGATGCAAATCAGGTTCAGAATGAGTACAATAACCACACTACAAGATTGTATGATATAGAGTCAAGGATTTCAAGTTTGACAGAAAAGTTCAAATATGATTTTGGTAAGTCATAGATATAATTTGGTGACTTTTATATGATACAATTTAAGTTATACAAGAATTGTGTTAGTACTTTTTCTCCACTTGTTGACTTTAGCTTTTAAACTCCAGGTGTAGATAATGAATTCTATTTATTCTATGATCGTTGCTTTGAGTCAAAGCAGGACAAGTAAGAATAAGGCTTACCTTGTGCTTGTGCTAATGCTTGGTATTATTACTCTCTCAATGTTGTTTCGTTGGGAAATGGATTTTTTGGTTTTAGGTATGTGTATAAAGTTTGTCCATTTAAACATGCAATACAAGAGGAAGGCAGGAGTGAAACCCGATTGGGGTATGTGTCTCCTTTTCTATTCATAATTGCTTCCATAACTGCAAATGTTGGGGGTACCATATAGAATTTATTTGTTGTCAGAGTTACCAAATATTTTTGCTGCAAATTAGATTGATCACAAAAAAATGGTTGTAAATAACAAGGCAGAATAGATGAAGATGCAGAAATAATTGCTAGAATATTACTTCCTGTTCTGATTTATGGATAAGATAATTAGTTGCATCATAATATCTCAGAAGCAAAGAAGAAATATAAATATGGACAGGTTAATAGAGATTTTGAAAATCAATCATTCCTTTTGCAGAGTTATTATCAACAATTCTACAGTATGAGGTCAAAATATATTAAGTTTAGATTGCAATTAAGTAGTTTGACAAAAAGCACATCTTTAAATGGATAGATGGGGTCGCACTTCTTTGACCTTTAATCACGAACAAGTAGATGCAAATATGTGGTTACGCAACAACATTCAAATCTAAATGTGTTGAGGGTAGTGGGAAAACATTGAGAAAAGAAAACGATGGAACTGGGAGAAGATGCCTTGTGGGTTCACTTACATCTTCAATATGAATTTCAATCTAAGGCACATCAATCTTTTGGAAAGGCCAAACACTTGAGAATTTTGTAGTTTGGCTGGTTGATGCCTTTTTTCTTCTCAATAAATAGTTCTCTTCTAATAAAATTTAACCTTTCCCCCTTGTTGTAGCAACTGGGAGAAGTTTGGGAGTTCATATAGAATGATGCTGTTCTCAAATGGAGATGGATGCTGGAATGGACCTGATAGAAGTTTAAAGGTAAGATTTATATGTTTTTTTTTAATTAAAGTTTTATATGTTGAAAAATAGTGATATTGTACAGAACTGTAAAAGTTTTCCTCCATTTGCGGTCCATGTTAGCTATATGAATTGTATTTGATTACAGATTAAATTATGGATTGATCCTAAGAAAAGTTGCACCACTTTGAAATATAATCAAATTGGCTGGATTGAGCTAGCTGAAAGGCTTGTCATTGAGAAGCATTCTGTTTAGATGCAAAATTCTGAGCAGTGATCCTTTTGTTTTTACAGGTTAAGTTAAGGTGTGGACTAAAAACTGAATTAACTAGTGTGGATGAACCAAGCCGCTGCGAGTATCTCTCTCTCTCTCTCTTTCTCTCTTTCGTGCACATACACATACAGGCACACATGTGCGGCATGCACTTGAACAATTTTGCCATCTAAGTCTGCTTCGTCTTGGCAGATATGTTGCTCTCATGTATACCCCTGCCCTTTGCCTAGAGGAAAAGCTTAAGGTAATTTTTATTGTAGAAGAAGCTATCATGTATTTTTGCTTTTATTCTGTATCTTCTATCAAATGGTGGATCTGGCAGGAACTTAAACAGAAACTAGAATCAATGAACAGAGAACAACCATGGAGTCATGATGAGCTTTGATTTGCCTACATCTACTTCGATCCTGGTGGGTATTTGGACAGTCTATTCATTCTTTCAATGGTAATTCTTGAAAGATCATACTTGGGGTTGGTTATCTGATTGTCTTCCATGCTTCGTTTCAGAGTGGCCAACTGATATCTTTGTCTATGAGCTAACTTAATGTAAGAGCTGTAGTTTCTCCAAAGAGTGGATCAGAAGCTTGTCTATGAGCTAACTCCATGTGACAGCTATAATTTCTCCCAAAGGGTGGATCAGAAACTCAAAGCAGATTGCAATTTTCAACAGATACACCAATACGTTTCCTGCTTAACTTCCGACAACTGTTGGTTTCATGTAATTTTTTGTTTTTCTTTTGCGGCTGAGAAACAGGATCAAGATTTTTGTCATGCTTAATAGGTTACACGGTGTTAGAATTTCCTAGAAAGACACGTATCATTTGTTTAGAACTCCATAACATTCTCTGCGGGAACAAGATGAGCCAGGCTAATTTTGAAAATACAAGAATTGAGACTTGATATCATGGTCTTGTCTTCGTTTCCTAAGGAATGGTGAATGTAGTACATGAGTGGAGCTATTCAAGCTCTCTTGTTGTCATAACTGCATCATTTTTTTTGGGAAGGGCCAAAAGTTATAACAGACATATGAACAAGTGATTTATAAAGCTTCTGAATGTGAAGAACAAATGGGGGGGCAAAGCATTTATGTTTTTTTATGATTATGCTTCACTTGCACGCACTGAATAAATTCCAGGATGCCAAAACTTTTGTTTATGGGTAGGGATACCCGTTTTTCAGCACTTGGTCTTCTGGTCTGATACCTGACCTTCCACCTTCACCAGAACGTGGCTACATTCTTAGCCATTACAATAATGTTGTTTCTGGATTGAAATATTGGAGTAATGTTTGATTTCCCTCTTGAATGAGAAAATTTTTAGTTCAAAAGATTTTGACGCCTGTTGAGGCGTTCCCCTCCCCAGATGCCATTCAAGAGTAAAAGAAGACACTTGCTATGACATGAAAAGAAGAAAATCCTGGCCAAGAAGCATATACCATCAAGTGATCACAAATATGCTTAGGAATATGTAGCCTATTGAGCTATATGTTCAAACTATTCCAAGTCACTAGTATAATCAAATGCCAGAAATTTTAAGAAAAGTGGGATTTTAAGGAATTATGCTTGACATTATTAGAGTGAACGAAACCCAGCTATATATCATTTTATATTACCCAAAGAATTTTTTTTTTGGAGTGCACAAAGAATGTTGTTATTTGTGCTTTAGTGTATATTCTTAATTCTTGGTTCTGTCTTATTGGAGGCTATAGCTCCTTGAAAACCTTCACTTTCTACTGACTGGGGCAGGTGAAAACCTTCACTTTCTACTGACTGGACAGGTGTTAAATTGGAACATAATATATATATATATATATATATGTATGCATGAGAATATTACAACAGCTAATCATAAATAAGAAAAATTAAACCAAATCTAAGGTCAGAAATCAATGATAAATTTGTTAATTTTCAGACCAATATATAATCAGAAGACCAATAATTTGATATTTTATAATAAAATCAAATAAAAATATTGATTCTATTTCATTCTTTTTTTCTTTTTATAATATTTAAAACACATTGAAATTCATACTCTTTAGGCAATCTACTATTAAATATAAACTTATATAGCCAGCAACATAAATATTGAAACTTAAACATTTACATAAGTTGTCAGTCAAAGTTTGAAATTTTTCAGTGTTAAAATGTTAAAATTACAGTTACTTGCATCCAAGCATTTGATTTATTGGTTAGTGCATTATCCTCCTGCTTAAAAAGTAGGATTCCAATCCCTTCTCCCTTAATTAAAAAAAAATCATAATTACTTATATATAAAGAATATTTATTTGGAAAATAATGAAAACCGGTAATAAAACATTTATTTACTTATGAAATTCATCATAAAAAAAATTGTTAAATGCAGTTATTTATCCCTAATTATTGGAATGTTTTAGGGAAAGAAGACTTCAGTTAGGAAAAGGAAATAAAAATTTAGTACTTTTTTCCTTGACCTCCAAGCAGCCTGACTCTCTTCAGTCCTTTGTTTAGTGAAACACTATAAATATAAAACACAACCTCTCGTCAAAACCATCCACAATTATTAAAACCCTAAATCCCTCCAAAAACTTCCCATTACCACTCCCCCACGAAACCCTAAACCTTGGTTTTTTTTGTGTGGTTTTTTTTTGTCATAGGTATGGAGAACGTGATTCTAACAGGAGTAGAGGGCATGGTGAAGCCAAAGACAAAGATCGTTTGCACCTTAGGGCCAGCTTCGAGGTCGGTTGAGATGATTGAGAAGCTTTTGAAAGCTGGCATGAACGTCGCACGTTTCAACTTCTCGCATGGTTCCCATGCATACCACCAGGAAACCTTGGACAATCTAAGGACTGCCATGAACAACACCTGCATTCCTTGTGCTGTCATGTTGGATACTAAGGTACCCTTCTGTTTGTTTTTTTCTTTAGTGTTCCTTCTCAAGATTCTCATTGTAGCCTGTTTTTGATCTATGGATTGTTACTATGATTAATGTTGTGCAGTTCTTTGGCCAAATGTTTTATTAAAAAGAAGTTGCATGCGGTTCGGTTTGAATGACAGTCTTTTCTTTATGATTGAACTTTATTGAAAAGGGTGTTTTTGTTCATAAATAATATGGAGTATGGATCTCTATTTTTTCTTTCTAAGTTTCAAAACAATGGAAAGAGATTCTGCGAGTTCATGTTCTCTCTACTAGAAGGCAATTAACTTATATTAGATAGAAACTGTCTGTCATGCTTCAAGCTAATCTTTTTATTTAAATAGCTTTCTTCTTTTCAATGAATTTTTATTTTATTTCAGAAAACTATTAATAACTTGCTGCACTGCCTTCTTTTTAATCTTTTGAAGGATAATGTTGTAGTTACTTAATTTGCTTGTGGAATTTTAAAAGTTATAGGGCATAATATGGGGAATTTGTCCAGGCAATGTTTTTTTACTTTTCTTTTTTCTGTAAATATTTTAGGGACCAGAGATTCGAACTGGCTTTTTGAAGGATGGGAAGCCCATACAACTCACTCAGGGTGAAAAGATTACTATTACCACTGACTATAGCGTAAAGGGTGATGAGAATCTGATCTCCATGAGTTACATGAAGTTGGCTGAAGATTTAAAGCCTGGGAGCGTTATTTTGTGTTCCGATGGGACAATTACATTCACTGTCTTGGCTTGTGACAAGGAATTGGGATTGGTCCATTGCCGCTGTGAGAACTCTGCAGTTCTGGGTGAAAGGAAGAATGTCAATCTTCCAGGAGTTGTGGTTGATCTTCCAACCTTAACAGAGAAGGACAAAGAAGATATCCTGCAATGGGGTGTTCCAAACAAGATAGACATAATCGCCTTGTCTTTTGTTCGTAAAGGTTCAGACCTTGTAGAGGTCAGAAAGCTGCTGGGAGAGAATGGAAATAGCATTATTCTCATGTCAAAGGTTTGTCATGTTTTTAACAGACAATGAGACTTTCAGACTACATGCTGACAAACTTAGAACTTAATGTGTTTTTCTCCATTTTAACATTTTTGTTGTGGATTCGCAGGTTGAAAATCAAGAAGGAGTTGCTAATTTTGATGATATTCTAGCAAATTCTGATGCATTTATGGTTGCAAGAGGTGATTTGGGAATGGAGATCCCAATTGAGAAGATATTCCTGGCTCAGAAAATGATGATTATTAAGGCCAATATATTGGGAAAGCCTGTGGTAACTGCAACTCAGATGCTGGAGTCCATGATCAAATCTCCGAGGCCAACTCGGGCTGAAGCTACCGATGTTGCCAATGCAGTTCTCGATGGTACTGACTGTGTGATGCTAAGTGGAGAAACTGCTGCTGGGTCCTACCCTGACCTTGCTGTTCAAACCATGGCCAGAATTTGCATAGAGGCAGAAAACTTTATAAACTATGGAGATCTTTTCAAGAGAATAATGGAAACTGCATCTACGCCTATGAGCCCATTAGAAAGTCTGGCTTCCTCAGCTGTGAGGACCGGCAATTGCATTAAAGCATCTATAATTTTGGTCCTAACCAGAACTGGAACCACAGCTAAGCTGGTGGCCAAGTATAGGCCAAGTATGCCTATTTTGTCTATGATCATCCCAGAGATAACGACAGATTCCCTTGACTGGTCATGCAGTGATGAAGCTCCAGCAAGGCATTGCCTTATTTACAGGGGTCTGATACCTGTTTTGAGCGCTGGCTCTGCAAAAGCTTCTTACAGTGAGTCTATTGAGGAAACAACCAAGTTTGCCCTTCAATATGCAAAGGAAAGAAGACTTTGCAAACCTGGAGACTCAATTGTGGCATTGCACCCTTCAGTGATTAAGATCTTGACAGTTTGATAGAGAGGTTAGATTTTGGCGGCTTCTAACTGTTGATACCTTCTTTCTAGCTTAGTTTTGGTAGCTTCTTTAACAAACAAGTTTGATTGAGTGTTGGAGGACAATTTCACATGAATGTTATGTCATCGCAATTCTTTGTAACGAAATATTTAATCAATTCATCCTTTTCATTTCAATTAATTTTCAAGAGCATATTGATACAATGTATAAATCCTTTTGAGTTTTGGTTGTTCTGAATGCCAATTCTGGGATGTTTAGTGGTGGTCTTATTTGCACGATATGCTGTATGGCTTTCAACTATGTCTCTGGTCCAATTTTCTGGGTCGATGCTAGATATGTCGGGCGTGTGGGTGCGCTTATAGTGGCTGAATTTGATGTAAGGTTGACTGATTGTTGATGTCCTGTTTTATGTAGATTCAGTTATGGTAGGCTGTGAGAGGGTAATTATCTTTTGCATGGGTTACCCCATTATTCTACATGTAACAAGCTGGTTTTTTTTTTTGAAAAATGAAATTTATTGGCGATTAACCAATATACCATTGATAGTCTCGAACTGGAGCTGCCAGAGACTCTCATTAGTATGAATGAAAATCGGTATGGCAAGAAAAGCCAGAACAAAAAGGTTCACCACTGCTTATATAACCCAGCAGCATACCCTCATCAATCAGTAACCTCACAAATAAACTCGATCCTGCCTATGATAAAAAACAACAGCAGAAAACAATGAGGCTATACAACAAAGACATAATTTTTAGAAAACAAACTCAAACAGTGACAGCAATACCCTAAGACCACAAAAAAATAAAATAAGCTGGTTTACCAGCACAGATCAATGGAATATTTGCTTGTCAAAAAATAAAATAAAATCTTTTTTTTTTGTTTTTAGTTTTGGAATAAAACAAATTTACAACAGCAGCAAAGAGACCACCTCAATGCAGCCAAAAATATGCTGCAGAAAGTTTTCAGGCTAGGCCAGAAGCAGTATTAGCTTATGTAGTCCAGTACATTACATAACAGGAATAAGAAAAAGTTTCAATTATCTTCTGTCTGACCTGCACTTGCACTTCCTGGCGTGGCCCCTGATGAGGAAGCTGAAGTAGAACCACTTTGCGATCCTGGTAAGGTGAGCAAACCATCATAAGGCCATGGAATAGGGATCCAATACCTTCTTCCAGTTCCTACCCTGCTACCACTTTGGGTATCATTAGTGTCAACTCTTCCTTCACTATTTCTGCTCACATTTGCTTCAATCTTGGAATGATCCGAAGGCAACTGGTACCTGCATACTGGGCAAGAGCTATGAAGTTCCAGCCACGGAACAATACACCCACCATGGAATTTATGTTTACATGGCATCTCCTTTGCTTCACTTCCAATCTCAATATCTTCCAAGCATATAGAACACTGCATACTGTCCTCTACAGTCACAGTTGGCATTGCTTCAACTGCCTCTTTCTGTGCTGGTGGGGTTCCATAGCGGTTAGGGTCATTCTCTGCCAAATACCGTAACAGCAGATCCCAACCAGGTCCCATCAGGTAATCACCAAAAGAGCTGGCTGCCCTATGAGTTGAGTTTTGTCCTTGGTTAAAACCAAATGAACCTTGAACAATTAAGGCCTCATCGTTGAATGGATCGAATAAGATCATTCTGCCACTCCTCTCTCTACTATTTTCAGGATTCTCTGATTCAGAAGCTGCTACAGTACGCATCTCCTGAAGCATCCGAAAAGCTGAAGCTGAGGTTCTCCTTCTCCTCCTAAGCAAGGATTCAAATTCTCTTCCTAGTTCATCTTCCACTGCATCTTGTGAGTTACTATCATTGATTTGCTCCCTGCCTGTGATACGCAACTGTGCAGAACCTAAACCACCAATCAAACCAAGCAAGATTGGAGCCCAAAGCGACAGAGTGTTCATTGATCCTAAATCAATTCCATTGTCGTCGGAGTATTGTCTCATGCTGGTCATTTCTTCCACAAATCCGGTCTCGCAAAAAGGGCATTTGGTTTCAGGTTCTATCGTTGGATTCACCATTTGAGAGCACATGTAACACCAATATCTACCTACCATCCTATCCCCCATCTTTCTCTACAACCTACTTGAATTTTACAAACAAAAATATAAGTAGACAAAGAAAGAGAATAGGGCTAAGAAATTAAGATAACAGGAAACCAAGTAACCAACTCAGAACAAGGTACTTCCCATGGTGAAGGCTCCACCAAAGAACCCCTTTTATGTTGCTATATTCTCTTCATAATCATCTGCAACAAACTTACCTTGACCTTCTCCTAATGCACCAAATTTCTTTTTCTAATTTTATGAGAAGGGATAAATGGATGCTTTGTTTCTTCTTAGACGTAAAACTAAGAATTATATTTGGCTGCTCCATTATACAATTAAAAAATGGCAATAGTATAGGATTAGAAAGGAACAGAGGAAGCACAAAAGAAAAAGGGCAAACATGTCAAAGGAAACAGTTCAGAATGAAAAAGATTAAAGTTGAATTCTTCAATGCTGAGAATATAATATTTGATCAGCAGTTTATTTCATTCAAAGAAGAATAATGCAACAATCATCAGGGGAAAATTATTTGAAGTATTGTCTGCTTAATATTATTTTCAAACACCAACTTATGCTTTGCAAAGAAAAAACAAGACAAATTAAGAGAAACATTAAGAAATTCAGATATCATTAAAAAACATGGTGAAAAGAGAGGATGTTTCTCTGGTACCTTTTAGATAGAGAATGAGGGAGTTGATGTGAATTATGATTTGGAAAAGATCATGAAATGAGCTCAAGAGGTAAAAGAAAAGGGTAGACAAAAGGAATGGTGTCCTCTCTCTTTTTTATTATCTAAACTTGTCCTGTGGAGGACATTTTTAGTTCAATACTTCCTTCACCAATCATTTTGTAAGCTTCAACTGTATACTATAGTTAATGTCAAAACAGTTTGTATTTAAATATAGAGTTTTTATTTGCTTTTCTTGTAAGGGGTAATGGGGCAATTGGTTGGTAGCATTTCATCTTCCATGAAGGTAGCTCAGCACCTCTAATTTACTTTGGAATGTTGAAATGTGATCTCCTCACAAAATGACAAATGGCATTGGCCACTGCAAAATTTTAAAACCTCTTCTTAAACTCCAATGGTTTGTCCAATGAAAATGTTGAAATTATTTTGATGTTAATGAAGCACATGCATTTCATGTTTGTATTGGGCTATCTTGGGCCTTAACTTTCTTTGAGGTCTGGGCTTAGGATATAGTCTTTATGGATCAACCCAATCCATTACCAGCCCAAACATATATGGGATATTTTAGGTATACTAATGTGGCAAAACTAGGGCTTTTCACCGTATTATAAAATGGGGAAGGGAAGCCAAAACCTGGGCAACTCACTGCTTGATCTTATCTGAGCAGAGAATTCAGGGCTCCCTTCTCTCTGAGCCACCCTGCGCCTTAGAGCGTTGCTGGAGGCTCTGCTTTAGGGCAAAAAGAGAGTGGGTTATAAGCCTTTCTGTTTTCTGCAGTGAAGACTGCCCGCAGTCAGAGCCCTCAATGTCAAAAACTGATCATTGCTTGGGCTGTGATGGCCTTCGCGGGCTAAATCCCAAGTTCAAAGATTTAGTAAATTGTCAACTGTAAACTCAGCAATGTCGGGTCCAGGGTATCAGTTTCACAGGGATAAGAAAATCTTCAGTTTTTATCTTGAGAAAATGTTGGTTTCTGAAAGTAGTTTAGATGGGTCCAACTCTAAGGGCAAGTTTGTTTAGAACTGAGACAACAAGATGTAGGAACTCCTCCTTTCCGTTTGGAGAACATAAAATAATTTAGGATTGTTTACATCGCCACATTCGGTACCTTAGTCATTTGTCATGGGTCATTACCTTCTCCAAAAAGCACGATTGGTGAGGTGCTCACCACACTTCCTTATAAGGAGTTTAGGATTTTCTATTCTTATCCGATGTGGGATAGAGGTACCTTTTGTGACACTTTCTCCCACTCAATTCCGGCAAAGCCTTCGATGCCTTCGGCTACCTCGGTCTGTTAGGGAGCCTGGCGTGCACACCCTGATAAGGAGCCCATGATCTTTCGTTTCTGTCCGATGTGGGATAAAGGCATCCTTTGTGGATATCTCTCCCTTGATTCGGTAAAGTCCTCATTACCGTCAGTCATCTTGCTTATCCCGATCTGTTGAGCCGCTTGGCGTGCACATCCCCTAAGGAACTCAGGACTTTCCGTCCTGTTCGATGTGGGATAGAGACACCTTTTATAACACTCTTTCCCCTTCAATCCCGGTAAAGCCCTTGTCGCCGTCGGCCACTCCGATCCATTGGGGGACTTGTCGTCTTGACGTGAGTTCGGATGAGGTTCGGTTGGAACTGATACTAGGTGTCACGGGATCATTACCCTCTCCCCAAAAAATTACAGTATGTAGTACACCCATTTATAAAAAACCTAAGACTTTATCTTCCTGCCGTCCAAATATTTATTACTGAAATAACCCTTTGATAACATCAACCGTGATCATTATCATTATCCTAAACACTGATAATTTTACCAAATACGCAGATTGTCTTTCATTCCAAAATGGGTTTCACCCTTAATTGCCATGATGGTAATTACCAAAATCCTTTTGTTAGAGGAGAGTATAACAGCATAATTAGCAATTGCTGGTGGAATCATGGTAATGATAGAAAGGGTATTCACTGGCTCAGAGAATGAACTTTCTTTCTCGAAAGCTGATGAAGGAATGGGATTCCGAGATATGGACAAGTTTAGTAAGGTTGGAGACTCCAAGAACACAATTATCGTGGCATATCCAGTCTTGAGATAAGGACAAGTATAGTAAGTTGGACTCTTGTAGAACACAAACTGTGGCAAGAGAAGAAGATGTACTAAAATATCGCTGGTTGACAAAGAGCAGTCCATAAGAAACTCGAAAGAACAGTTTGAAACCAGCAGACAACACAGTTTCTGTGGGACATGTTCTCCTATAAGAAATCTCGTATTGTTTTGACGGGACTTCGACTAATAGAATAAAGCAACAGGCAACTCTAATCATTCAAACTGTCTTGGGTGGGGTGCGCCCAGCCTTAGCTGTAGTGCAACGCTTAGGCGACGCTCGAGAACCCCAGTAGCAAGCTACTGCAGTGGGCTCTCCCCTTTAAAAAATTAATTTAATATCGTGTGGACCGATGGCCCACGTATCAGATATTAAACTGATAAGAACAGATACTACACTTGATCTTAGCCAAAAGGCCGAGAAAGGTATGCTTTGATCGGTCCAAGCCCAGTTGTTTTATAGGCAATCTCCTGTCCCTTCTTGTCTTTGCTGGCCAGTGTGGGAGGATCTCATGAAATTGTGCGCAGCAAACGTTAAAAACATAAAAACCCTCTTTGACCGAACTCTATTCTGCATGAAATCTCCCTTTCAATCTCAATTTCATTTGAGTTTGAGCATGTTCATTTTGTCTTGAAATCTACCTTTAAGACCATAGTTGCTAGTCAAGAAATAATTGGAATGTAGAAAACTATGTCCTTGTAACATATTCATATACAAACTAATATCAGAATTAAATAGCAGAAGTTTGAGTTCCACAGACCCATGAGGAAAAAGCATGTTAGCCATCACAACTTAGACATGTAAGCAGTAAGTGATTCATTTAGTATTTGGATTATATTTGCTCATTTCTACTATGATGATCTTATCTACATAAATATCTTATTTCATTGTCAAAGAAAACATAAGTTAAGACCCAACAACAAGGGAAGAACGCTTTTTCTTGTGGGGAGAAAACCAAGCTTTGGTTTTGTAAGCCTTGTTCCCAGTACATGTTGCTGCTTTGTTAATCAATTTGTTCATTGTTACAACAAATATATTATTTTTTTCACTATACTCTCTTCATATCTTAATTAGTATTAGAACTTTCTTAATTTATTAATCTTAAAAGAATCACAGAAAAATCATTTTAAAAAATTTTTTATGTTGTCATTGGTAATTAATTTACACGTACTCATTCAAATATTCATACATATAAAAAGTAAAGTATTTTCAAACTTGACAGTATAAAAAAAAGTTGCATAGCACCCTGGTCATTAACAAACAAAGTTATACCTCGACATTGGTCCAAGTTTGAAAACAAACTGCAAACTTACAAACAAAATTAAAATCAACATACGAGCCTTACAAGAGAAGATGTACCTAAAGAACCTCTTCATCACACTTCCAACAAGAACTAGTTTGCAACAATGAGAAAACCTGTCAAACATTCTTTAACATAAGCTACTACTTCAAGACTTCAAGTCTGTTGAAACAATCCTTTAATTCTTATTCCACCAGAAACGTGACTGAAGATACGTAACCACATTTTCATCCAGTTGGAAAGCCTTAGTAAGAACATCAGGATTAATGGATGATTTGGATCCGAACACTGCATTTGCAATGGTAATTACTCCAGGATTCTGGCCGCTAAGACCAGCAAAGGCAATTGCATTTGTTTTCCCTATGTTGAACTGGAAGTGAATTAGACCAACTGGGAAAACGAAAACGTCTCCAGGGTATAGGACTTTAGTGATGAGATGATTATTCGGATTAGATGTAACAAACCCAACATAGAGAATGCCTTCCACGACTACTAGAATCTCGCTAGCCCGAGGGTGAGTGTGAGGAGGGTTTAAGCCACCGTAAGGTGCATAGTCAATTCGAGCCAGAGATATACCAAGAGTGTTAAGTCCTGGTATTTGTTCTTCATTGACTAGAGTGACTTTTGATCCTAGTTGGTTTGATGTGTTTCCTGGCATGTTGAGTCCTGAATAGAAGAAGTCTTCTGCTTTGACGTGCTTTGGATCCTTGCAGAACTTGCCATTAACAAACACTGCATTAAAACGATAGAAATGTGAGTTGATGTACATCATGCATTGCAAATGATAGAGATTCTAATTAGAGAGTATAACTGTTCACAAATTCTGGCTCTTTGCAGAATGTCTTTAATTTAGAGTTTTAGACATTAATTTAAATACTTTGAACAAAAATAAAGGCAGAACATACCACCATTTTGGGTGTCCTTGAGGGCTACACAAAAGTCCTGAAGAGGGCTAGGATCAGAGGCAGTGGCAAATGAGAAAGCCAGAACCAATAGGGAAATTGGTCCAAGGATTTTAAAACCTTCCATTGCAAACAAGGCAGATTTCTAGCTCCAAAACTTCCGAGTTCTAATGCTCGGTGAGAGGTGAGAAATCTTGATTGAACAACTTTGCCCATTTATAGTTGGAGTCATTAAACTAGTCTTAGCTTGTTCTTTCTTTATTAAATTTTCTTCCCAAGAAGCAGATGTAACACTTACCAAGTCTAAAGTGATCTTTTTCCTGCTATTTTCTGGATTTACCTCGTGGAGTTCCCTCTTCCAATGCTTCACTTCATTGACTTCAGCACAGTTCTGAAGTTGCAGTGGGACGCCGGCGCTGCAGGCATTCAACTTACAAATGAAATTAAGTTGACAATGGTTAATGTTGACATCTTCCAGACTTCTATATACGTTTTTATTGGAGTAGTTAACATAGGAAGCTTCCCTATTTAACACATGGCATTTAAATCAACTAGCAATTAGATTGGCATATTTAAAAAAAAAAATGAAAATCGAAAAGGGACTGTTGATGAGTCTTTCATACCTCCTATTGGAATTCAATTCTTCAATTCAAGCTTAATTAGATACTCACTTTAACGTGGTGCTTTCTTGATGAAAACATTTAATCTCTCAAATTGTTTGAAACAGGTCAATAACACATAACTGATTGGAATTTGGAACTGTGACAATTCAAATGAATGGTGCGATTAAGGAGTACTGA